CGAAAGAGTTCTTACCATCGGAGATTTCGGGAAATATTCGCTTGTATGATAAACGGTCGCTTCGTCCTTTTCGTGGTAAAGTTGGGGAGAAAGATTCTTCTTCCTCCCAAATGTTCCTACGAAACACGAAGACAGTGAGAAAGCGAGAAGTTCATTTCTTACTTGAGGTAAACATTATTACCTTTATCAGACAGTCTTTCTTCCTGAACAAAATGTTATGAGAAGAGCGAAGGACCTGAACTAGCCTAGCCTAACCTAACCTATCCTAACCGAAGCTCAATCCTCATAACAGCTGTTTGAAAAGACAGGTCGGCCGAATGTAAGACAAGTCCGTAGGTCATGTCCGGATAAGACAGGTCACGTCCAAGAAAAGGTGTCGAGTCCAAGTGAAAAGTGTCAATTCCGGTAAGAGCATCCGGTAATTAAGAACATCTATATTGTAAAAACACTAGTATGTCTTTATGAAGAACTGTAAAATCATCAAATACTTCAAACAAATGGAGTTAACATGAAATTTCTGGGGAATCAAAATAAATATAATTAAATAATGTAATATCAAATATAAATGCAACAAGAGAGGGAGGTTCATTTATAGAACCATGAAGAGCTGTAAATATTTTAAGATATTCTATATGCATTGTATATAATTTCATATATAAACAAATTATTTATTTCAATATACACTCCAAAGTACAACTACAGAAATATTGTGAACAAAACACTATCACTGTTAACTTAAAATCTTAATTTATCTTCCAAATACATTCATTTATCTCACCATTATATTGATAAGAAAATAATTGCTCATGTTTATTTTTTCATATATTAATTAAGTTTTTCTCCTTAAAAAAACAGTCTGAGTCTACTTTCTGATAGATTAGTCACTTATGTGATCATTTTTCTATTGTCATACTATATGTTAAACAAATAGATATGATCTAATATTAATTTGTTTTAAGGTATATGTATACATTAGATTTATTTTGAATATTAGTATTATAACTGGCCAAACCACACAATAAAAACAGATATCTCCTTTATAACACAGTAGTTAGGTTCCGAAAAAGTGTCATGTTATGCAAATCTATGCTACAAGAAACAAAGGACTATTAAAACACATAGGATTAGGTTCCAAAAGTATACTATTCTTTTTCACAATTAAGAGAAATATGTTTATTAAAGCGATCAATAATTAAATAATAATCACAATCAAAAGTATTGCACATTAATATCAATCTTTTCTTCATTGATAAACACCATAAAACATAAGCATTTTCTTTTTGGCAAAATATTGTCATCTTCTGATCTTTCCTGTTGACCATAAGATGAAGTATTGGCAACATCTTGATTCTTCTCTTCTTTTTTGATAAAATCTAATACTTTAATTTTCTTATGTTTGCCTTAGAGATCTTTAAAAATTTAATCTTTTCAAGTAGTAACTTTTAATTTAATCTATAGAAACAAAATACAGTGACAGTCTTTCGATTCATTTACAGCACTACGACTAACAACAACGACACCTGGTTTATAGGGAAGCTTGAATAGGAAGCTAGGACAAGGAAGAAGAAAAATTGTATAATCAGTTCTCATTAAAGGAAGTGGAAAAAATGCACAAAACAAGTTTGTAAATTTAATACTCAAAATCCATGGGCAAATATGAGACAATATGCAAGCTTGCTTGAATAAAAACTATTAAAAATTATGATGTTTCGTACAGGGAATTTCTCCAATTCTCAAACCATGATAGAGCAAAATTGTGTTGTATGAGGGATACCTAGCTGTACTGATAAACTATTAAAACTCTTTTAATTTTTATTTATTTTCTTCTAATATAATTAGTTCTCTTACTTCGAGGCAACATCTTTAAAATATTCATTTACTGATTATAAGTGTGTTTCAGAAACATTTGGCCAAATTTCACAGGAGAAAAACCCTAAAAAAATTTGGGCAGTTTTTTGACTTAAAGCTTAATTTGTGAGCTTTTTATGAACCATTCATAAATGATGTCTTGCTACACCCCATGTTTTTAACTCCATCCCATGTCATTCATTGTCATATTATGACAAAGCTGTTTTCACAAATGATGTCAAATTGGTTTTCATCTCTGATTTGCATTATAATGATAAATATTCAATTTTGTAATGGATATTAACATATAATGATTTATTTATATTTTTATCAAAATAACACACTATGTGACAATAGCATTACATTAATCAATTTTTTTTTTCACTTAACTTTGCTATCAAGTTATTTCATTCCCATGAATTTGTATGGTGTTCTGCAATTGACCCAATGGGAACATTGGAGGCATGTGTCCATAAGAATACTTTGTCCTATCATACAAAATCTATCCACTCAACACACCATCTGCATTATATTCCTACTAAAGAGTTCCAAACAACTTGTTTCTCTTTATTACATGAGAGGTGCTACAGATTTAGAAATCATTAGAGTGTCATTTCTTTACATTTCCTTTTACGAGTCTAACACAGTAACTGCTTAACTTGCAAATACCCTTTCTGTATTGCAACTGTGTTCTTCTTTAAATTATATTTTGAGACATCATGAAGTGTTGATATTAGACACTGGACTTTTTCACATCCACTTTATTTTCTGATGTACTTTACAGTGTATAAACCAATTGTTCCAAATGCCAAAATGTGTTTCTAGCTAGCACCCCACATCTGTTGGCTGATATAAGTTTTCTATAAAGATTGTCAATGTATTGTTGATGTAGTACATAAAATCAAACATCACCATGTATTGTAAACCAGTTAAAAATTCCTAAAATTTGAATAAAAAATAAAAAAGAACCTTGGTGCAATTTCCATTTTAAAAAAATAGAACCAAGTATTCAAATTTCTCAATAGTAAAACAATATATAAAGATTAATAGAGTGCACATGTAACTAAACTCATATTGTCATCAATATAAATTATGTCAGGTCTTGTACCCATTTTGGATAACTCACAAATTCATGGATCACTACAAGCATTGGACTATCCTCATTAGTCATTAATTGATTACTTCTATGGGACATTGTGCTGGCTATTTGTAACAATGAAAATACAGATTACTGGAGAAATACTGTTTGAGCCATAAGAAATAACATATTGGCCCACAGGCAGCCAGTTGGCCATCACTAAACTGTTCATAACTATAAATTTGAAAAATTATTATATAAAAAAATGTTAAAATTTACTTAATTTTTCTAATTCGCTTATAGTTTTATAAAAATAAGTCATTCTCTATATTTAAATCTATTAAATACATTCCTAAAAACCCAATATCATTTTATTTTCTAAAAATCTATTCTATTTCTGTACAATTTATGATTTATAAATGAGAGCATGTTATAAATCTTAATTTTATGTAGAAACAAATTAAAACAAATAGCTATATTAATTAATGTATCTTTAACAGTAGGTAAAGCTAAAAGAGCACTAATGTTTTTGATGTGGTTAATCTCAGGTGTGGACAATCAAAAGTTAAATGCTAGCGCTGGAAGAAAGGATAGAGGGATACATTCAAATAGAGTAAACAAGCAGGTGAGATGGGCTATAATGGTGGCAGTTGATGTGAAAGAATAAGGAGATGTTGCAGGAAAAGGAATTCCTTGTCTCTGCTGTATATACATATGTTGGTAAATGGCAGGGATAAGTAATCCATTGCAAGCCTGGCAATGTCTCATCATTGCATTCAACTTTTGACTGTCCACACCTGAAAATGGCCCAATAACCAGAGCTCTTTTAACTTCATCCACTGTTGAAATTACTGTGACCAGTTCATCTTCATTAAAACAAAATATTGTTTAATTTTAAAAATAAGAAAAAAATTAATTTTTTCAATATAAAAAACAATGTAACATAAAAACTTTATCTAACGTAAGTTAAAATGTCAACCATTCAACTTTGGCTACTACTTTTTTATAGTCATTAAACATTAGAAAACATTAGAAAAGTCCATATTTAGTTAAATGTAACATGATCTGTCTGAAATCATCCAGATATGGTATTTCAATCTTTAATAAACAATCTACTGTCTTTCCATATAGTTACAATTTATCTTTAAAGGAATTCCATGTAACTTTCATATATATAATGTACTTTTCCAAATTATAAAAAGTATTTTAAAATATATAAACATAAATAAACTGTCAGCAAACAAATTTTAAGTGAAAGGACAAATCCAAAGTGTAAGTTAACATTTGTCTTCTATCACAAAACAGATACAAATTACATCAACATATCTTGCAGCTGTGTTTTTTTTATTCGTACTTATTTCAAAATCCATTAATCGCACATGCAGATTTAAACTTTTAGTCCCATCATACTTAATTTATCATCTTCCTTAACAAATCAATACTAATTGCTACGAGGCATTGATTTCAAATACTCGAAAAAAAAAAAATAAAAAAATCAATATCTTACTTTCTACTCTCTATTTTCTAATTATCATCATAACACTCGCTTCTTATAATCAATTGCGTGTATGTTGGGACAAGAATAATATACACTTTTTTTACAATTTAATTAAATTTGTTACGTTTAACTAACAAACTTATCTTGTATGAAATTATGACTGGAGGAACATTTCTTTTCATTCATTAATAATAAAAATTCATGTTTATTTACTTATTTTTCTAAGAAAACCATTTAAATATGGTTCCTTATTACACCATATTGAATTTACTGTATGCATACAAGCAACAGATGAAACACTTTAGTTACAGTTGTGAAATTAATGGTCCATTTAACATTGAGTATAAAGTTTCTGTGAATAAAACTCTGATTAAATCCTGTAGAAAAGAAAAAAAAATATTCAATAAATTGTTTTAAAAAGAATAAACTAAACAGGATATTCTTCTTAAATGGCTAATTTAACTACAGTTGTATCAAATGGGCGAAAATATATCAAGACATGGGAACTAAATTAAGAAACACCAACACTTAAGATATAATTTGTCAAGATAAAAGTTCTTTAACCTTTACACTTACCAAATCAACACATGCAGAACTCTCAACATGTTATATTTTCAATAACTTAAACGTTAAACGATACACATGACACAAAATTAATAAATTACAGCAATTCTTATTGTTTACAACGTTAAATCCATATGCTGTTTTTTAATGGAAAATAAACCATACCAGCTTTAACGTAAAACATCATCAATTCTACACATGGCGTACCCTACCGGTGGAAATGTTAACTTGTAATTTTTTCCATCATCATTATTATTATTTTTTTTTAAATTTTATTATTTTAAAAAAATGAAATTCTAATTCATTACTCGTATTTGTTTTAATAATTTTCTGTAAATAATAATAATAATTAATAATTTATTAAAAATTCGAAAAATATCGAATATATTAATGATTACGTTTCAATAATTTAAAGTAGTCGCTAGAGTACATAGATTAGTAGTCGCACTCGGTCAGCGCCATCTAGGAAAACTGAAAAAAATTAATGTCAAAATTAAGGATTTTAACACCCAAATTACATACTTTTAGAATATAATGGGAAATTATAAAAATAAAAAGAAATTATAGCTTGCTACATTAAAAATTATTCAGCTTATCTTGAAAAAATAATTGATTTCGAAACTTGCTTTAACAGGAAAATTCCACAATGCGTATTGCGCTATTATGACGTATAAAGGAAACTATATAAAGCAGAAGTACGAACTTGCAAAACAATCAACTCACCTTAAAGCCGTCATGCAAGAGTAATCAAATTCGTTCTGCACGCGATAAAAGAATAAAAATATAAGAATTTATTACAACACTACAGCGCGAGGTTGAATCGTTGAAGATCTGTTTTGTCACAAATGTTGCATATTTTTTAAAACTTTTCTGCCCTGTAGGCACTAATAAGTAATAAAACCTTTTTAGCAAGTCAATTACGTTGGGCATGGCCCATATTAATATAGCAGGCCAGGCCCACAATAATGGGCTTGGCCGCTCTATTGGCCGCTCTAGCTTGAAATTTACTTAAAATTAATTTTTCTTGTGGTATATACATTTTTTTATATTGCCAAATAATGTAGCTTTAAAAAAAGTGAATTGAATAGGGAATAAATCGTTGAAATCTTTACTATAAAACGATACTTATTCATTTGTTAATAGATGACCATTGTTAAAGGAGAAGTGTGATGTACAGGGGCAAGCCACAACTAATTTGAGGTGATGAGCACACGTTTTAAATTAACTGATTTAGAAATGTGATTAAAAATTGCAATCCGGCATTGTGACGGTGTCACAATATTGAAGTTAAAATCCTTCTAAGAGATAATAAAAAGGAGGTAATAAGGAGTTAATAATTGTGGGAAATGGAAAAAAGCGTTGCATTTGCCCATCAAAAATAGACAAAGAAAATATGCCAATAAGTGTTAGACTGATATGTAGAAACTACACCATTAAGATGTGTACAGATTGCACACTATATTCATCATTGTAAATAACAAAAGTATAGTAAGACAAACTATCCTTTTGTTCGTTACGTTGTAGACAACAACAACTTTAAACACTGAAGCCGTGAGCCTGAATAGGGATTGGAGAATTGCATTGTTAAATAGGCGAAATAAAGTCAACTGTTTTAATCTCGATCTCTGTTAATTATGCATAATTAAAGACATGATAGATATTATTTATTGCACACTACCTAAGAAAACAATTTTCCTTCGAACCAACGAGATATAATACTATAGGTATTTGGGGGCGAAGAAATTGACTCTCGAAAATTGGCAACTCTGATTCCTGTATATGTAGTCAGTCAGTGACGTTTTGACTTGCCGGACAGTCACTATGATATAAGACACTAGATTATTGGATCAAATTTTATCTGTTGTTATTAAATACAGAACGTCCTCAATATACGACACACTTAATTAAGTTCCTAAAACGCGTCGTGAACAAAATGGTGTACATCGAATATCAATTTCTCACCGAAATAATACACATTGCAGACCAACTAAAAACAATTTATGTGCAAGTGTCTAGTGTACTGTACAATAACGAACTGTTTATACGGAAGTGTCGCTACTTGTTATACTTTCAAGACCTAGTATAACAAGGTGACGGTCGGATATTTGAGCGGTTAAGACTTAAGTCTACCGCTCTGAGATCGAATTCGGGCTGTTGAAAAACCCAGGGCGATCTTACCTGATGTGTCAAGTGCCGTCTCATACAATCTGGCAGCCCACATTATGGATCTTCAGAAACCGAGGATGAGTAAGATTAAAACAGCCCTCCATAAACATAACAAAAAAAATCACCAGCTGCCATATTGCAAGTGTGATTAAATATACGATGAGCACGAAAATCTATAATGATCTTAGGTAAGAGTTAACAATACTAAAATACGAGCGAGATTATTGTTGCTAATGTGTGAAATTCCATTTAATCCATGCAAGTTGTGATTATCAGAGCCCCTTCGGCCGCCAATTCAAAGTGTTTTAATCTTTAAAATTGGCGTTTACACTTCCCAGGACGAGGACTCACGGGTTGGATTTGTGGGAGACGAGTGTTCGGGTTGTTTCATTGTGTCTAATTACAGAGAAAGAGGTGTTTTACATGTAGGTGCGTGAGTGCGAGATTTCGAGTAAAGGTTAAACGGTGTATATCTTCGTGTACAGTGATGTGTTCTTGTGCGTGTGTGTAATTGAAGAACATCTTTCGGCATGTCTAAAAACAGAAAAACAGTAAATTACAATACGAGAATAAGATGTGTAGAAAAAGAAAACGAAAGAGTTCTTACCATCGGAGATTTCGGGAAATATTCGCTTGTATGATAAACGGTCGCTTCGTCCTTTTCGTGGTAAAGTTGGGGAGAAAGATTCTTCTTCCTCCCAAATGTTCCTACGAAACACGAAGACAGTGAGAAAGCGAGAAGTTCATTTCTTACTTGAGGTAAACATTATTACCTTTATCAGACAGTCTTTCTTCCTGAACAAAATGTTATGAGAAGAGCGAAGGACCTGAACTAGCCTAGCCTAACCTAACCTATCCTAACCGAAGCTCAATCCTCATAACAGCTGTTTGAAAAGACAGGTCGGCCGAATGTAAGACAAGTCCGTAGGTCATGTCCGGATAAGACAGGTCACGTCCAAGAAAAGGTGTCGAGTCCAAGTGAAAAGTGTCAATTCCGGTAAGAGCATCCGGTGAAGAAGGGAAAATCGAAGAGGATCATCGCCAAGGAAACGGCAACCGCCCTCAGCAACAAAACCACAGACACCAATGGGCGGATCTCTCCTTCGATTCTTCCCCGTTCTGACTTCCACAGGGCAGTGGAAGTCCCCGTCTAGGACGAAGAGGCAGAACAGGACCAAACAGAAACAGCTGATTGCAGAGACAATGTGTATATGCCGATGGCGATTTAGAGATAGGGTAGACCGCGGTTTAGAAAAATTTCATTGCAGAGACGGCGGTTTTCGCTAGCCACAGTTTAGACAACGATTAGAAACATTTTATTTGACATACTTTCTAGACAACCCTGATAGCATGTTTACACGCCGTTTTACTTGAGTAGAAGTCGCCATATTCAATTGTTAATGGCAGAGTTTCCGTTATAATGGATATTGTTCATTTAATAAATACTGTAAACTGGACGAATCAAGAAAATTATTCATCTCGACAATTACGAAGAGAGAGAGAGTAATACGAGATCGGAATAATAGCGAGGTTGAGGCCGAAGTTTTAAACGTGTACGTCGGAGCCTAGAAGTTTGACAATGGTGTTTGGATAGTCAGTGGAATCATTCTCGACATTCTAAACACCATTGTCAAACTTCTAGGCTTACAGGAAAGCGGCGCTGAACGTCCGACATACACTTTTTCGGCCTCAACCTCGCTAATACTTTAGAAATTATTCCGAAGACGAATTTCGAATTCAATATAGATTTTCTTAAACCGGATTTATTCGTATTTTATATCGTATTGGCGACGGAATGAAGCATGTAGATAGAAGAGATTTGGCATTACAGTTGTTGACGGCTTAACGATTTTATGCCACCGGAAACTTCCAGAGAGTAGCCGGTAATTTTATCGGAATTCACGTCTTTACTGTATGCAGAAATCTATTACACACAATAACACGGCAAAAAAGTTAATTAATTAACAGAACATTAAGTGCGCATAGAGTACCGGTGATCCGTTCGAGGTTAAATTCGGTTAATCGGGGCTTCCTGTTCCTAAGGTTTTCAAATATAATCTAGTGTTTCGTCTATCTAAGTTCTTTCTCGAGATTAATGTAAGACAGCCGGACAGACGGCAACAAGGAAAATTTATAGGTTTACAATCTTTTCAAATCTTAGCCCGATGACACCCGGCATTTCGTCGACACGCAAATACGATAAGTAAAAGAAGAGCAAAGAAGAAAGCGGCACCAGTGTTTAGGGATACAAGAAATTTTGTTGAAATAAAAACATTTTTAAATTGAAAATGACTTTTTAAATCTTAATAGAAATTTGAATGCCGATATTCGTTACTGTGGGGCGAGATAACGACGAAATGTAATATCGGGAATAAGAAATCTAAAACGATTTATGGAAGAAACGATACACTTTTAAGAAATTCGTAGGAGAAAAACGTTCCAGACAGGCCAGAAATAAATGTTTCAAAATTCGAGAAGTCGATTTGTAAATATACAGTTCAGAGTTGTAATAAAACACCAGTAATAAACGTGCAGAATTATTAACAAAAGCCGAAGATCAACAATGGAAAAGTTTATGCTTGTTGCCGACAATCTATAACGCAACATGCATCGGATCAAACAACAGAAAATGGAACAAAACACTATATATGAACAAAATTAGGGAGGAGGCAAACAGAAAAATACAGTTTGACCTCGACAACCTGACAAAAAAGAACTTTGATATACTGTATCATGGAACCCAAAACGTAATATGGAAAATCATTAACAATACGGTTATGTTAAACGACCAATGGTCGTAAGCTGTCAGTCATATGTACAAAACCGCAACGTACTGTACGTCACCTCCAGGTGCTTGCTCTCTCACTCTTGTCAGCACTCGTCTTGGCCAAGTACCATGTAATAAACCTATGTTCATTATTGTCGCTGTTTCTAGACTGTATGTATACTGTATCTCCTATACGCACAGAAGTGGAGCATCATTATGTAATATGGCTATTTCTGTATGTTTAACTTGTTGTGTAGCTACTTCGATGTGTATCAGTG